AAAAAAATCTGACCCCAGTTTAAAACATAAACAGATTCTAAGCAAGACCTCACACCTAAAATGCATTGTCTGACCTGAGATGTCACCTCTTGTATACTTTGATAAAACCTTTAATTACCTCGGGACAATGACTTGAAAGGAATCTGGGTTTTGCATTTTAATCAGGAGTCTCCTTCCTAACTGATTAACAGTTCAACAAGAGCTGGCCAGTTTTAGGGTTGTTACTTTTCTGCTCATAAATTCTTTGTCTTATACTCTCTCTCTCTCACACATTACGCCTATGGAAGGGGCTGAGCTCTGAAAGCTTGCATTTCCAAATGAACCTGTTTGACTATAACTTGGAGTCTTGGGATTTCTAGGAACAAAAGGAACTAGCTCCAAACAAAAAAGACACAGAAGAAAGAACATCCTTCTGTTCCACCAGAACACACCCCCTGCCTCCGTTTCTACCTACAGTGACTCAAGTAATCAGCACAACATGTAGCACGGTTAAGTGTAGTTTACAATCTACAGGCACATTGAGGTTTGCAATTCAGGTCCTCCATTCTACAAACAATACAACATTGAAGTGAAACTTGAACTCTGCTGTGCAGGTCCAGCTCATGCTATTACCCTTATTTGAGAAGACACATGGAGGCTGATTTTAACTTGAGGCCCACAAGAGACGATTAGCCACCATCCATTCTGACAACATCTCTTAGAGGGAGAGGGTAGTTATGCTAGTAGTCACTCATTTACCTAAACAACACTGGTCAAATGGTTTACCTGGCATCCAAAGTCTGGCCCAATATGTGAAGACAGTTTACAATTGATGTGGCGTCATTCCCTGCATTAAAAACAAAACTGATTTACTATTGCTGCAAAAATGGATTATGCTTTACTGATCTGTCCACAACCACTACTGCTATGGTGGTGTCATGACAACAAACAATGTTTGCTGTGGTGCAGAATGGAAGTACCTATCAAATATCACAAACTTTGAGCCTGTATTTCAGATTTTGATTCAGCACTGCCAGCATGAAGAAACTTTACCATATTTGGAAGGAGACATGCAAGGTACAGGTTAATAGGTGAATTGCCCTTTTACTTTCAAATCTGACTCTATTTCTTTATTTCCAAGAATTTTGTTTTTGGAAATAAATGCACTCCAGTCCAATGCCTTCTGATCATTGCCACGTTCTTTCTAAGACGTTGCACAAATTAAAAAAAACATAATTATTTGACATTAGCTTTACATCAAGCACTGGCCATTTATGTGCTTCACTATGTACCACTGTGGCTAGGTTTTACATAGTGTCTTTAAATTAAGTCCAGAGCCTTTGCCTAAACTTGCATGTGCATGTCAGAAAAATGGTAAATCTGGCACGTCTAGGGAAATGATATGATCAAAGTGGCTGTTGCCCAATTCCTCTCTATAACGACATAGAGGATTGGGAATAATGCTGAGTATGTGGCAATTTATAATATCTTCCCAGAATTTCTAAATAGGTCATGGTGGGAAACTGAGGGTAATTCCTGTAGAAATTCAAGGTGGCAGTGTCCTCAGTTGTTGCATAATTCTCACCCTTATAGCAGCCAATACCTACATAATGACTGGTGGCCTTCCCTCGCCATTCATTGCCATGTTATATATGTTTAGATGGCACCTGGGAGCACCTATTTTGTAGAAACTTTCCCCCTACAACAAGGGGCTGAAAGGCCTGTTTCTAAGCTGTATAGCTCTATGACTCCATAGCATCATAGAGTCACTTCGCTCAGTTGGCTGGACAATTGGTTTGTGATGCAGGGTGACGCCAACAGTGTGGGCTCATTGCTGTACAGGTTGAGGCTACTATGAAGGTCCTGCCTTCTCAACCTCACTCCTTGCCTGAGGTGTGGTGATCCTCAGGTTCAACTTATCACCAGTCATCTTGCTCTCTTTCTTTCATGAGAGAGCAGGGTATGGTGACTTAACTTTTATGTTCGTCTAGTAAGAACACTAGCAGAGTCTCCAGCTGTCACTTAATATGAGTAAACTACAATGAATCAATAATCACAATTAATTACTCCACTCAGGGACCAAAGGAACAGACTGTCATGCATAGCTCATGGTGTTTGTTATATTGTTGATTAAAGAAACAGAAGACATCTTAATTGGCACAAATATTTGAAATACTGTAAAACACAACAGTTGTCACTGGTGTACAAACAAACGCTTCCATCAATGGACAGATAAAATATCATGCTTTTTCTATACATAGTTAAATGATGAATCTTAGATAATCCAGATTTTCGGGAACAACGGCAGGCAAGCAGACTAAAGATCATTAACCAAAACTGACAGTGATGGAACCGGGAGCAAGGCACCATTCCTGTGGAAGTATCGGATTTACTGGCAGGACAGGAAATATTGGCAAAGAGACTGGCATCCCTACGAGCCAAGCACATGACATGCTAAACTGGCCGTGCAAATGGGCAAAGCATAAAATCAAAACATATATACGGTGAGAAATAATATGGTGCCATGCTTCAGTCGTCAATGCTTTAGCTTACCAAACAGTGATATCCTATGTCTGACAAGCACTCCAAGTTTGCAGAAGAGGCTGAAAGTGGAGAGAAAGAAGGACAGAGGGGAAACAAAACAGAAAAAGGAAACGGCTGAAATAAAAGCCTATCGAGTAATGTGACATCATGAAGAAAGAAGTCTTTTTAAAAAAACAGTTAGAACTACACAGCAAGGGACCATCATAGAGCTGTAGGGACACATTGTTGCCTAGATTATGAGTCTGTAACATAAAAGTGCACATTATATGCAAAGCCAAGAGCAAAGCTTTTATTAACATGATTCAAGCAGCTTCTATGTGTTAACAAAAATAAAAGTTCATTAAAGCAAAAGAGCACTTCTTGTTTTGCTATAAGTTCAATCAAATTTCACACAAAGTGCACAGTAAAATTCTATCAGATACACTGGAACAGGTTTAAGTTCTTCATTTAAAATCTCGCCCCAACCCGCACATTACCTCATTTCCTTCAGGGTCACTGAACTCTCATCTCACATCATGCTCTGACTGAGAACCAGCGAATGTGACCAGTTCCAAACCCATGACCATCATCCTAGAGAAACAGCTGCAAAAGGCAATGCCAACTGAGGGACAATAACTTATCTCTAATTGTCCCAGGAGAAACACTCGGTCTTTTCTATGTACTCCTCCTTGATGATCGGCCCACAATCAAAATTTCAATTGTAATATGAACCCACAGTGAATCCTTCTGGAGTACAGTATGTCAATACAATCATCCATATCATGAGAAATGGAGTTCCGTTCCATGCTGCAAGATTTTACTTTGATCGATTTGTAGTTGAATTGATTTTCATAATTTATTTTTAAAATAAGGAAGCGATACAATTTAACTTGCAAAAGTGAAATGTACATCTTTTTAAATATAAAATAAAAGTATTTTCCACATTAATAACTAAGTTTACCTATTTTTCTCGTACCATTTCTTCTGATGAGGCTGTTCAACATTTACCGAGTTTTCTCAATAGGTGGCAATCTAATCACATGGTAATAACTATACAACTATATATCAGCAATCCCCTCTTGGAAATGAAATTTATAATGTTAGTAAAAAAAAATTACATTTACATTCACCTAATATTTAATAATAAATTGTTAGTCCATTTAACAAAAATTTAAATAATAAGCGAATGAATTTGATGTATGTATAGGAATACTTTCTTTCTTAATAAGGTATATTGCACTAGCAACCCACAATGTGCAAGTGTATGCTCATTAATGTAATAATGATAATTAATGTATTGTTGATACTTTTCCAGAATAAATATTAATAGTGCTCTTACCTAGAATTTTTTAAATAAAGTAGATTTAAGTATGGGCATTCTCTGTAAACACCCCTCATAATTGATTAGTATTTTAATAAAGGAATGGATTCTTTCTAGTGGCCAGTTGAAGAATATCTGATCCTCCACAAGCTGTAGAAGTTGAGTCATTGAATTTATTCATTGCTGGCTTAGATCAATTCATAGGAACAAGGGAGTCAAAGAACACAGAAAGAGATAGGTAGGGAAATGGAGTTGAGTCCACAATTGGATCAGACACAGTCTTAGAAAATGACACAACTGACTTCAGGGCCAAATGCCAAACTCCTGCTCCCAAGTTCTACATTGTAATGTTCAACAAAAATCCTTGTTAAGACTAGAGAGTCAAAACAAAATTTTTGCCTGAGTTGTCATCATTAACTCTCATCAATTATAAATTGTTTGATTTGTATAAAAAGGTCAAAGAAATTGCCGCAATTTTCCATTCCATAAACCTCCAGTTACCTTTTACTGGGTCATCATCAGACAACACAGCCATCAGATGCAGGTGACCTACTTACTTGGCTCTGCGAATAACAGTTTACAAGAATATTAACTGTTGCTGAAGAAGGGTCTAATTCTTCTTTGAAAGCCAAGATTAAATCTGCCTCCACCACATGCTCAGGTAAGTGCATTCCAGATCCTAACCATTCGCAGCATAAACAATGATTTCCCCCATGTTTAATTACCAATCACCATAAACTAACGTCCTCTAGTTCTGGACCCCTCTATCACTGGGAACTGTTTCTCCCTACCTACTGCAACTAGACCCCTCTTGATTTTGAACACTTCTGTTAAATTTGCTATCAACCTTCTTTTTTATATAAAGAGGTTGGTGGATTGGATGATTTTATATGTGACAGTTGCTGTTTTGTTGCATTGCGAGCTTACCTAAGATTCTAAAGTTAAGAAGAAGGTCTATCTCTAAGTAGAACCTCTCAGGAAGACAGCAGTAAGGATGATGTGAAACGTGAGCAATGCCTTGCGTCAAAAACAGCTCATAGCCAGGGCAGCACGGTGGCTCAGTGGTCAGCACTACTGCCTCACAGCACTATGGACTTGGGTTCAATTCCACCCCTGGGCAACTGCCTGTGTGGAGTTTGCATGTTTGCCCCCTGTCTGCATGCGTGTGCTCTGGTTTCCTCCCACAGTCCAAAGATGTGAGGTTAGGTGGATTACCCATGGGGAATGCAGGATTACAAGGTGGGGGGGTGGAGTGAGTTTGGGTGGGATGCTCTTCAGACTTGTTGGGCCAAATGGCCTGTTTCTACACTGTAGGGATTCTATGACTTCAACTGGCCAAGCAGTCAGCTAGATAAGACACAATGCTGCGCACATTCCACGTCAACTAAAATACAATTTCTCTATTTATTACGAATAACAGTCAAGTTGAACCTGTACCTGTAATCAGGTTGTGTTGATTTATTTGTCACAATTAGTAAATATTTTCAAAAGCTTTTGAAATCTGGATAGAGTACTGTTCCCGCTTGTAAAAGATTTAAGAACATGGCAACACGGATTTAAAGTCATTTGCAAAAGAAGCAAATTGATTTGAGAAAAAACTTCTTTACTCAATGGTAATTATGGTATGGAATATGTTATGTGTAAGTGTGGTGGACACTGATTTAATTGAAGCATTCAAAGGACATTGGACAGTTACTTAAATAGAATTAATATGCAAGGGTATGAGGAAATGGCACAAAAATCGAAGTGAGCTGCTATACTCATTTGGAGAGTGAGTACAGACATGATGGGCCAAATGGCCTCCTTCTGTTCCATAACAATTCTGCAATGTAGCCCTGTAAGTTTGGAACTGAGTATTATCTGCCTTTCCCTAAAATGACTTGGTTCCTTGCTGTGATAATAAGCAAATCACATTGCAGAGGTTGACACACTCCCCCACCCAACAACTCACTGTGAAAAAGAGTATGCCAGCATTACCTTGTTACCATCTCCTTTTCCTTGTTAGATGCATGGCCTCCACTACTGAGAGGGTTACTCGCAGTAGACAGGAAATACAGGCGGTGGTTCTTAAAATATTGATCAATCAGAGGTAGAACGACCTGCAAAAGTGAGCAACACTGAGTGTGCACGTTACTCAAGTCAAACATCCATCAGTTTCTGAACGAGAGGATAAGGAAATCAAATTCCTAAGTTCACCTTCTATCATACTGGTTACCAGATGCTGCAATAATCAGAGTTGTTGACTAATCAATCTTTATTTGTTAATCTTCAACACATATTTTGCAGGTCTTTGGAAACAAAAGTCACTTTACTGTCACTTACCACAAGTTGTGTCTCAAATTACCTAGACAGTGCATGCTAAAAACATCATCTCAGAGTCATAGACTCATAGATATGTACAGCATGGAAACAGACTCTTCGGTCCAGCTCATCCATGCCGACCAGATATCCTAGATAAATCGAGTCCCATTTGCCAGCATCTGGTCCATATCCCTCTAAATCCCTCTAAACTCTTCTGATTCATATATCCATCCAGATGTTTTTTAAATGTTGTAACTGTACCAGCCTCCACCACTTCATCTGGCAGCTCATTCCATACACGCACCACCGTCTGCGTGAAAATGCTGACCCTTAGGTCCCTTTTAAATCTTTCCCCTCTCACCTTAAACCTATGCCGTCTAGTTTTGGACTCCCCTACCCTGGGGAAAATACCTTGTCTATTTACCCTATCCATGCCCCTCATGATGTTATAAACCTTTATAGCGTCACCCCTCAGTTTCCGACACTCTGGATAATTATTTAAATAGAATCAATTTGTGAGGGTATGAGGAAATGGCACAAAATGGAACTAAGCTGCTATACTCATACATACAAAATAGCCGCAGCCTATTCAGCCCCTCCCTATAGCTCAAGCCATCCAACCCTGGCAACACCCTTGTAAATCTTATCTGAACCCTTTCAAGTTTCAGAACACCCTTCCTGTAGCAGGGAGACCAGGATTGCACACAGTCCCCCAAAAGTGGCCAAACCAATGTCCTGTACAGCTGCAACATGAACTCCTATACTCATTGCACTGACCAGTAAAGGCAAACATACCAAACGCCTTTTTCAATATCCTGTCTACCTGCGACTCCACTTCCAAGGAACTGTGAACCTGCACTCCAAGGTTTCTTTGGTCAGTAAAACTCCTAAGGACCTTAGTATTAAATGTATAAGTCCTGCCCTGATTTGCCTTTCTAAAACGTAGCACCTCACATTTATCTAAATTAAGTTCTATCTGCCCACTGGCCCATCTGATCAAGATCCCTTTGTACCCTGAGGTGACCTTCTGTGCTGTCCACGACACCTCCAATTTTGGGATTATCTGCAAACTTACTAACCATACCTCTTATGTTCACATCCAAATCATTTATATAAATGATGAAAAGCAGTGGACCCAGCACCGATCCTTGTGGCACACTACTGGTCACAGGCTTCCAGCCTGAAAAGTAACCCTCCACAACCACCCTCTGTCTTCTACCTTCGAGCCAGTTCTGTATCCAAATGTCTACTTCTCCCTGTATTCCATGTGATCTAACCTTGCTAACCAGTCTACCATGAGGAACCTTGTTGAACGCCTTCCATCTTCTGAAAGAAATTGGTCTAATTTTTCACCTGAATCATCTAGTCTTAACTGCATCCCACCACATTTCTCAGGAGCCTTTTGCAATGATTAGTCATTCTTTCACTGAACTATTTTTTCATTCACAGTTCATATGTTTTAGGTTCCGCTGTAATAATTGTCCTGGACACCAACACAAAGTATATTGTGGGTGCCCTGGAGCAGAAGGTTTGACTTTACGTTGGCGACTCAGAAATAAGGAGCTGGATTTTACAGGTCTCCACTCACAATCAGTAGGGAGGGTAAGGGTGGGGATGGAGGTCTACACCGCTCCTCCCCAATCCTGATAGGCTGCTCTGCCATGAATTACAGCTAGAATCAATATTAATTGTTTCAAGGTGAGACTCCAACCTCAGAAAGAAATCCAACTTTAGAGTTCGCTGCCTAATGGATCTGTACTCCCAGCAGCACCAGAGGAAGCACTGGCCATCTCTGGGACAACAAACACCCCAAGGAGCCTGGTCGTCCAGGATGGGAGCAGGTGGATTAAGTGGAGGGAGGGAACTGGGGATGAGTTTCAGGAGATCAGGGGGACACACGTCGGATTCCCTTGGGGGTTAGGGAGGAGGGAGTGGGAAGTGCAGGTTGTGTAGGGGTGTCTCCGATGGGTTCAGGATCTGGAAAAGGAGATTATGATCTCCAACCCTCATTCAACAAGCCTGTGCAGCTGGGTGAACCACGTGTCATGATTCTCTCCCTGCAGCAATGCAATGAGGACCTTAGGTGGCCACTAATTGCGCGTCTAACAACCTCAAAAAGCCCAAGTCAAGGTGGGCTGTCCAACATCCTCCATCACCTCCGCCTGCCTCCCTCCACCCTTCTCAACACCAACCCACATCAACCTCCACATTAAGGTTCAGGCAGTTCAGGATTACGAGCAGGCCAACAAGAACAGAGCCACATACTGGACCTTATGTGTCCCCAGCTTTGAAAGCTGCCAGTGAGTGAGTCCAGTAGATACAGCCCAAGCAGTCATTGACCTTTACTCGTTCACCATTGAAAGTGTTTGCTCAACAGCATTTCATATGTTTATTTCTCACAACAGTTTCCCCCTTTTAATATGTTGTACCTTAGCAAAGAACTTGACTTCCTGCTCATGCACAAATTTTTCTCCTTTACTTGTGGAACAAAGATCTAGAAGCAAGGACAAGACAACACTTTTGATAAAAGAAGTAATGTGTATACCACTAAAAACTGAACAAAGCAATAACATTGGAAATGTTGGCATGGGCAACGCGTGCTGTGTTGGAAATAAAAAGCAGAAATTACTGGAGGAACTTTTCTGAAGAGTTATATTGGACTTAAAATGTTCATTCGGTTTGTCTCTCCACAGATTCTGCCAGCGCTGCTGAGTTTCTTCAGCATTTCGTTTTTATTTCAAATATCCAGCATCCGCAGTACTTCACTTTTATGTGTGTGTTGAGTCAGGTCATAGTATAAATAGAAATAACATAATTGCTCAAGAACAGACAGTGTGACAACAAGCAGCACGCTGCATTATACCAGAGAAAAGATTATAGAGATTCACATTTCCCATAAAAAATATATTTGTTGCAAGTGTTAATGGCTAAGTTTGCAGCACATTTTACCTTTCTGTCAGAGGTTGTGGGTTGAAATCTTGTTCCAGGACTTGAGCAAAAAAAAATCGAGACTAGCAATACTGAGGGAGCACAGCACTGTTGGAGGGGCATTATTTTGGGATGAAATATTAAACAGAGGGTCTATCTGCCTGCTCAGGTGGACATAAAAGATCCACTGGTACTATTTTGAACAGGAGCAGGAGAGTTACCCCTGGTGTCCTGGACAACATTTATTGCTCAACCAACCTCTCAGAAACATATTATCTGGTCATCATCAAACTGCTGTTTATGGGAGTTTGATGTGCCCATACTGGCTGTCATATTTCCTCCTATACAAAGGTGGTTACGTTTCAAAAAAGTACTTAATTAGCTGTAAAGTGCTTAAACTTCCACTGGACAAACTTATTTTTCAACTCTGTAAAGCAATGCAACTTTTATTCCTGTGCTGTATCCAAGATTTATACCTAGGTACTTGTACCTAAGATGTCGCTGTAAGAAAGCAGACAATGTTAAAGCTTTTCACTATACGCCTACAATGGAGTACATGTGCCAATAAAAGGATATTCTAGTCTATTCTAAAAAAAAATTGTCACGTACACACAAGTCTCTTTTCTTCTATTTTGAAGAAGAACTGGCGAGTTATCCCCAGTGTTCTGAACAATATTGATCCTTCAATATTTTCAATTAAAATACATTATCAGGTCATTTTCACATTGCTATTTGTGAGAGCTTGCCCCATGCAAACCGTTTTCTACATTTCTCAGAATACAACAGTGACGACTCGTCAATGATACTTTACTGGCTGTAAAGGTCATGAAAAGCAATGTAAATGTAAATACAAGTTTTGCTTTAATATTTTTGTAACAGCACTGTAGTCTAAGTGGCAGCAGGACAACTTCACAAAGCCAGGTCTGCTGCAACATTTTTAAAAATCAGTTCTGTGGAATTTACAGCACTGGAACGGGCCATACAGCACAACTGGTCTCCACCAGTTGTTAGGCTCCACACAAACCTCTTCCTATTCTTCATTCATACTGTGCTGATTCAACAAGAAATCTATATCTTACAAGATACAAACATGGAAGTGACATTACGCAAGTTTGGCATCCGAAGTATCAGAATCTGACATTTTAATAATAGTAAATATGCATTTTACCAAACTGCAATATGTAATCATGAGCCTGATCAACATATTTGATGAGCTGTTGCAGGAAGCTGTAAGCAAATCTTTTTTCAATGGAAGGGGTATCCAACTCCATCTCTTTAAAACCCCTGGAAATATAAAAAAAGAGTCTTAGAATTTTGCATTCCTATGCCAATACCTCTTTTTAAAAATAAACAGATATTGCTGCAAACACACTCATCAAAAAGTTGACCGAAAGCAGTTAAAGAATTCTCAATTGGGATTGTGCATCAAAGAGTCATCAAACTAATTGCAATAAGCATGCATTTACAAAATTACTTGAAGAGGATGGAATAGGAAAGGGCAATAAATATAAGACGCTTATTCTTGGGTTGCTAATACCCCATAACTGCAAATTCAACGAGAGTAACAACAAGATTAAATTTGGAGATATTCCTGTTCAAGCCACATGGATGGCTGAGAAGCTATAGGTGAATTAGAGAGAGTGAAGGAGTTGAGAGAGGTGATGACGAGCTACTTTGGTGTTACCATTATTTGTATGGAGCCTAATGTTCTTCTGGATGATGATGCTGAGGAATAGAATGTGTGTGAGAAACAGAAGGAAGCCACTGATGGATCCTTGGGGAGCTCATCGACATTTAAAAAGTTGCAGAGATTGTTAAGGTTACACTTACTCCCTTTTTGTCTGTAGTGTGTATATGTCAGGCTGACTGGTTACAGCAAACTCCCATTTGAAATGCAGGGGGAACTCACAATGTAAAGGATCAGAGCTGGTGTAATTACATTATCTTTTCTCACCATTTCTCAACCATCGCACAAAATCTGCATTAGCTACAAGCCCCACTCATATCTAGCAGCTGTCTGGCAGTGTGTGGTACTAAGGTGTACATGGCACTGTTATTTTTAGTACAGCCTTTGTATTGTTTCACTACATTCACGTGCTTTTACTTTATTTTTATGAGATTTAGATTCTCATAAGCCTTATTGCAATTGGGTATTGCTTTTGTCCACCCAAAATCATTATTGACATCAGTGAGTTTTTTAATGGGAATGACTCAATCTGACACATTGAAGGCGATGAGGTACCAAGTGTGCCAGCCTTCACAAGAGACACTCTATACTATTCTCTTTGGCAACAGGCAGTGGGGCTAATGCTTTGTTAAAAGATTTTTTTTATATTTGTTCATGGCATGTGGACTTCATTGGCTGGGTCAGTGCCCTTGAGAAGGTGGTGGTGAGTTGCCATCTTGAACTGCTGCAGTCCATTTGGCCGAGATAGACCCACAAGGCCGTTAGGGATGGAGTGCCAAGATTTTAATCCAGCAACACTGAAGGAACTGTGGCATATTTCCAAGTCAAGACAATGAGTATAGAGATTCCTATTTACTAAAGAAAACTTATTGGTGCAAATATGAACTATGAATGTCCAAATAACCAGTACATAGGATGGTTCTTCAGGAACCCCCAGTCACAGAACCCCATACTGTCTGAAAGGGCACTGACTCACTGAAAGCAGATTCTGCTTCACGTGTTGCACTAAGCAATTCGGAAGGATTCTGGTGAAGAGGAGTGAGATTGCTCTTTGATTTGTCACAAGATCACAGAGTTCTGTTCTACCCATGGAGGCATCTTTATGACCTAGTTGGGGAGTTCTATAATACTGACTGAACCAACCAGGGTTGTTACAACTGCCAAACCCATTTACTTTTCCAAGGACCCCTTTCATGGGATCTGCATCAGCTCTGGCACGGAGGTCACCAACATTAACCAACTTGTCTGACCTTAGTACAGTAGTAATGTAGGAATGGAGATCATCACTGAAGTTACATGAATGTCTAAGTAACCGTAACATAGGATGGGTCTTCAGAAGCACCTGTGTCACTGTATGCCGTGCTGGCAATGATACTTCCATTAGGATTCAGCCTAGCCTCATTGCCCAGAATGCCACCAACCCATGTTGCAGTCATTGCTAGATTTATTGGGCAACGCCTAGAGTAACCCACAAACAGATCTGTGCCACCAGCTGCTATAACATTTACATCTACAATGCAGCAGTTGGTGAGCGTACCTCATGACCATCATTAAGGTGTGAACTTAACTCTGTCTCCACCTCCTTTCAAACATATACTTAAAAGGATAATGTAATCAAGTGCCAGCAATCCTTGTTGCATTCAACACATGTAAACCCAATTAATTTCAGTAGCTAGAGAGTCAGTTCTATCACTTCAGATTCATGCTTGTGCATTTCTTTTCCCTTTCCTCTGTTTTGCTCGCTTACTTTAGACCTTTAATCTAGTTCAGTTTTCCTTTCGTATAAAGTTGGTTAATTGATAGACTTTAAACCCCTGTGGTCAACAGTAACAGGAAAAAGTACATCTTCACAGTAAATTAACTAGAATATCCACAGCACATATCAAAAAAAAGTCCAAATAAAATGGTTAATGACCAAAAATGTGGGTGAATATCCTTTGGGTGTCCCTGTTTATACACACAAATGAAGGTCAGGCTTTTTTGATGTTCCGATAGCCATTTCTGCAAAGTAAGTGAGAGATGCATGTCGGGACACTGGAAAATCCCCACGCAGCAGGCTCCAAGAACAATGCCCAGGAAATTGAAGATTCCACTGCAATTGCCTAGTGTCTGGAACTCTCTGATAGTATCCATCCAAACTGGAGAACATGGAGGGTTCTGCTGTAGTTCAGTCAAGAGTTGCCCAGAAAAAGTTGCACAATTAAAAACCACGTATAACTTCCAGGTAAGTAGCAAACAGTCCCCTCAACTTACTACATACAGCAGACCTATGCCACTCACCCAAACCTTTTACGCACCCCTGAACCCTGATCTAATATCCACCTCACCTCCCAGGACTCCAGCCCTCTGCCACTGAACCTGACAACTCACCCCATCATCAGACCATCAAACCCAACACCTCCTGGGACCTGATAACCCCCTCACTACCCCAGAGCCAACACCATCCCCCTCCATTGGAGGTTCAACACATTCCAATCCCCCAGCCCCATCCTGACACTACCTCCAGATGGTCCAATAACACCCAGCTGCTGAGCCTGACATCTGTCCCCCACTCTCCCCATGATCTAATAATTCTGATACTTCTTCCAAGAATGAAAATCTATTTGTCATTAAAACTAATGTGTGCTTCACTGTTCAGTACAGATTTTGAAAATACCAATCTTTGTATTTTAAACCTCTCCCCTTATTTCGACCTTTTTTTTTGTTGAATCAGTGCTTTCTCTGATCAAAGACGGCTGCTTGGAAAGGTGCTCCATGAACTTGATACATATTAGAATCACAGACTAGAACATATGCAAGCCAATCCCAGGATGTTCTTTGCTACAATGCTTCTGTTCAATCCCACCTCCCCACCAAAGACTACATGGCTGGAATGGGTAAACTAGAAAATTTTATAACCTACCTTTGCATTGTGCGGCAGAGCCAAGAAGTTGTTTCAAAAGGACATCAACTCTCTACATCATTTTGTTTGCAAAACTCAACCACATATTTCTCCATGTTCCCCATTAATGTAATATTTAAAGTTGCCATGTAATAAGGAGTCAGATTTTTTTCTAATTTTATTTCTTAAAATTTGACTCCATAATGTTTTAGTAGCAATGCATCTCATTAGTAACTTAATGGATGGTGTCTAAAACTATTCTCCTCCTCGTAGTGGATGCTGTACAAGAATAAAACGGGAGAAGAATTCTGAGGGAAGGCATTAAACACCATCCAATATGATGATATCAAATGGGCTGGAAGCAGATGGACCTACCATGTACATCACTCTCATCGTTTTAGTAACAACCTCTTTCGTACCAAAGTAACTTGTACCTAGCTGCTATCATACAATAAAATGCATCTTGTTTAAACTATGAAGTTATTTTCCTCCACCACATTAGACCAGTCAGGCACCTTAGACCTCAACCTAAAAGGGCAGCAGCAAATCTCCTAATGCGTCTTTCACCAAGGTAACTGTGGTGAGGATCTATCATACAATACTGGACACTAATACCTTGAGACTGCATAACCATTGATCTGAAGAAACTTGAGGATTTCCTGGGCTTTCTCTCGGTCTCTGGCTTTCTCCTTCGCCGTCAGTGTATCATAGGGCACCAACAAAGGGTGGTTTCCTCCTCCTGAAGGAATAAAAGCAACCACCAACATTAAAAAGAATAACCAATATTTCATAATATGGTTATAGGCTGTGAAATTTCACTTCCAGCTAAGTGGATGAAGCTAAAACTATGATAACTTACAAGAGTAGATTAGATAGCTGGATGAAGGGAAATGGGTTGAAAGGAAATGGGAACAGCGGTGCTGCATGTCAGAACTACCTGTTCTTATGAACGGTAAATTCTGACATGGACTGGTAAAGCTGACTGTTGCTAACTGAATGTTGGTAAAATGACAACAACCTTTTGCTGCTTGTGAATCTTAGAAAATGGAAACAGTCAACCTGAAAAACAACCTATATCTCTGTTTAACAAAATATTTAAATAAAATCACCTATCTAAATAAGTATTCATAGAATCCCTACAGTGTGGAAACAGGCCCTTCAGCCCAACAAGTCCACACTGACCCTGTGAACAACATCCCACCCAGACCCATCCCACCACCTCTTTCCCCTATAACCCACCTAATCTACACATCCCTGGATACTATGGGCAATTTAGCATGGCCAATCCACCTAACCTGCACATCTTTGGACTGTGGAAGGATACCAGAGAACCCAGAGGAAACCCACACTGACACGGACAGAATGTGCAAACTCCACACAGAAAGGCACCCAAGGTGAGAATTAAACCCAGGTCCCTGGTGCTGTGTGGCAGCAGTGCTAACCACTGAGCCACTGTGCTGCCTCCATTGCTGACATGTAAAGTGGCAGTTGTGATTCCAATGGGTGTAAGCATGTGGTAACCAGTGCAGAAGATCTCTGATTTTAACGGCATTGAAAGAAGGGGCAACCAAGAAGAGAAAAATTTCCTCACAGGAGAGAAACACAAGCAGAGAAGTCATTCGCTCATATGCCCAGTCCACTACAGAGTGTAGCACAGGCCTGGGCATTGATATTATGCCCACTATCAAAACTGGGAGAGGTACATAGTGTAATAGGATCAGAAAATGGGAGAAAAAAATCCAACTGACAAAATTATAATGTGATCGATGATATAAAATAGCAGATGTAATCTGATGCAATCAGAAGCCCCCACTGGAATTCTTTGGGAGATCTTGCATTGCTGGTGGTCACCCATTTTACAGTCTGCCCAATTTTACTTTTGATGTCTCCTTGGACAGTAATCCTAAGAGTTACCTGGCAGGGGTTATGTTCAAACTTCTACCCCTTCCTCCCTATTGTGTTATTTTTAGGATCAAAGAGCAAACATGGGAGAAACAACCAATGACCCTCTTAAGGTCAATGGACACAATGGCAAAAGGGTCATTACCTTTCACTCCTCCCAAATGTAGCATCTGCAGAGTGCTTCCAGGAATTTTTGGTTTCATGTCAAATTTAATTTGAAAACTCAGTGAGCAGAAGGTCCATGACCTTCATAGAGTCATAGAGCTATACCACACAGAAACAGACCATTTGGTCCAACCAGTCCATGCTGAACATAATCCCAAACTAAACTAGTCCCACCTGCCTGCTCATGGCCCATACCCCTCCAAACCTTTCCTATTCATGTACTTACCCAAATGTCTTTGAAATGTTATAATTGTACTCACATCCAGCACTCCCTCAGGAAATTCATTCCACATGCAATCCACCTTCTAAGTAAAAAAATTGCCCCTCACGTCTTTTTTAATCTCTCTCCTCTCACCTTAAAAATGTGTTCCCTAATTTTGAAAACCCCATCCAAGGGAAAAGACAACGACCATTAATTCTATCTATATCCCCTCATTATTTTATGAACTTCTATCAGGTAGCCTCTCAACCTCCTACACTCCAGTGAAAAAGGACCCAGCCTATCCAGCCTTTCTTTACAACTCAAACCTTTCAAACCAAGCAACAGCTTGGTAAGTCTCTTCTGAACCTTCTCCAGCTTAATAATATCCTTCCTGTTACTGGGTGACCAGAACTGGATACAGTATTTCCAGTTATGGCCTCACCAACGCCCTGTACAACCTCAACATGACCTTTCCCAACTCGTATACTCAAAGAACTCCAAACCTTTCCTATCCAAGAAGAAGAGCAGCAAATCAGAAGGCGGCTGAGAGTCGTCACTGCAGAATTCAGGGAGTCTTTGCCACGGTCATCACGACTGTACAGGAGGTCACAGAGAACCCAGTGTTTCCCAACCTCCGTCCTCCTCTGACCAAAAAACAGGGGCACTGTGAGGAAGACTACTGGCAAAGCAAAGGTTTACAAGGGAGCAGCCACTAAGAGAGTGGGCCGGTGTTCGATTGGAATTGCTGAGGCCTTTGTTGAAGAGGTTTTGGCATGAGGAGGCTGAGCACAGGTATGGGTAAGAGCAGGTTAAAGGCTCTTTAACTCTACTTTCTTTCCGTCTCGACTAAAGGTAGTTCAGGATGGCAGTTAGGGCAGTGGCTTGCTCCTCTTGCAGGATGTGGGAGATCAGGGAGATGTCCAGTGTCCCTGGTGGCGACACCTGTCAGACTATCTCTGAGCAATTTCTGCCCCTCTAAATGTCCATAAATCCTATCTTTTATAATCACCTCCAACAATTTACTGACAACCGAAGTCAGACTCATAGATCTACAGTTTCCCAGTTTCTCCTTACTACCTTTCTTAGACAAAGTGTACAGCATTAGCCACCCTCCTAGCCACCTTAGATCAGGTCCCAGAGATTTATCCATCTCTATATTCTCTAAGACCTCCCAAACATCCTCTTCTGTAATGTGAACTGTTTTTAAAACATCAAAATTTATTTCTCTGTGTTCTCTAATCTTCACTTCATTCTCCACCATAAAAACTGACATGAATTATACATTTAGTATCTCTTCCATCTCCTGGGGTTCAACACAAAGACAACCTTCTTGATTTTTAAGGGCCCTACCCTCCCTCTAGTTATCCTCTTGCTCTTAATGTATTTGTAGAATCTCTTTGGATTATCCTTAATCTTATCTGCCAATGCTATCTCATATCCCTTCTTTGCCTTCCTGATTTCTTTCTTAAGAATGCCCCTACCCTCTTTATATTGATGAAGAGATTCAATTGAACCAAGTTGTTTATATCTAAAATAAAACTTTTCTTTTATTCTTGACTGGAACGTCAATATCTTTATTCATCCATTGTTCCTTAATCTTATCAGCCTTACCCTTCACTCTAACAGGACCGTAATGCCTCTGAACTCTTGTCATCACACTCTTGAAACCCTTCTACTTGTCAGACATCCTTTTACCTGCAAACATTCTACTCAGTAACTTTACCAGCACAGAGCGTATATTAAAAAAGATAACAACAAAATAACATGCAAAACTGATTTGCTGTATTAGGGAAGAGAAAATAGCTAAAGAGAAAGTTCTGATTACACTCTGACATTACATAACAGATTGTTCACATTAGCACTGGTGAAGACCTGATTGACTGCCCTCCTGAACACATGGGGGAATGACTCAAAGTGGACAAGGGGAATAAAGTAACTTAAAAATAGAGATCTGTAAGATTTACAGGCTATATTTCTGATACTGAAAAGTTGGGAGCTGGGAGAATTAGTTTTATAGTTTTGACAAGAAATGTGGGTCGGACTGTACAATGAAATTATGAGATAAGACTATTCCACAACTTCCATGCAGGTATAGGGGCACCAAATGTCTCAAATGGATCAAAGTAGAAGTAGCCATCAAATTGTGACCAAATCACCGAATAGTAATTTGGCACTCTGCCAGTAGATTCACCAAACTACCAATTCGTTTGAAACATGCATTTAAAACAATCAAAGTGGAACTGCAGAAGTTAAAACCCAATACTTTCCAACAATCTAACAATATCCTAATGATAATGGAGTGCGTCCCATTACCTTTAACTTCCAATTCATTTTTCTTTTTTTTAGCCCAGATATTATGATAGTTCTCTGCTAGTAGCTCTGCCATTGCCTGTGATGAATTGTAAAGAAATACACAGTCATTGCCAGGTTAAAACATTTTATACTGTGAAATATAAGTTCTTGAGAAGTGGAACAGTGAGCATTTACTGATCAAACTCAGTTCCTAGGTAATGCTTCTCTGAATAAGGAGGAACATTATAGCCTGCATGCCAGAATGAGACTTCTATCTTTGAAGAAAGGTTAAGTAGAATTGGCTTATATTCTCTGGAATTTAGAAATAAGATTTGACTTGATTTGATTTACTATTGTCACATGTACTTAGATTTGGTGAAAAGTTTTGTTTTACATACTGTACAGGCAGATAATACCATACAAAGTACAGAAGTCACACGACACCAGGTTATAGTCCAACAGGTTGATATGAAATCACAAGTTTTCGAAGCACTGCCACTTCGTCAGGTGAAAGCTTGTGATTTCAAATCAACCTGTTGGACTATGACCTGGTGTCGTGTGACTTCTGACCATGTCCACCCCAGTCTAACACCAGCACCTCCATGTTATACAAAGTGAATAAGGGTAATAGAACAGAGGAAAGAATACAATGTCACAGCCGCAGAGAAGGTGCACAGAGAGTGAGGTCAACATTAAATTTAAAATATGAGAGGTCCATTCAGAGGTCTAATTAGAGCGGGTGAGAATTGGTTCTTGAATCTGTACATATGTGTACACAGACTTTTATATCTTCTGCTCGACAGAAGAGGGTGGAAGAGAGTGTAACTGGGGTGGGAGGTGTCTTTGATGATGTTGGTTGCTTTCCCGAGACAGTGGGAAGTATAAATGAAGTCAATGGATGGAAGGCAGGTTTGTGTGATGGACTGGGCTATAGTCACAACTCTGTAGTTTCTTGCAGTCTTGAGAACAGCAGTTGCCAAACCACACTGTGATGCATCTAGACAGAATGCTTTCTATGGTTCATCTATAAAAATGGGTATGAAAGGTGACCTCATTGAAATTTTTAAAACTCTTAGAGGATTTGACTAGATAGATACTGAGAGGCTGTTTCCCCTAGCTCAGTGGAACGAGGGGTCATAGTTTCAGGGTAAGAGATTGTCTATTTAGGACTGAGACAAGGAGAAATTTCTTGTGTATCTATGGAATTCTCCTCCCGAGAGTTGTGGATTTTCAGACGATGAGCATATCAAAGTCTTCAACAAGAAAAGCTAGTATAATAACTTTAGCATCATTCTTCAATTTATTGCAGCCACATGTAGGATATGTGTCAGAACAAATTAAAAGCAATAGCTTAATAAGCAATAACTTACATGCAGGTCCCTAGAAAGCGTAACATTGCTCATGTCAATAGGCCTTGGGCTGTACCCATGTGCAGAATCTACAGAAACCTGAGTAACAAGCAGAAACATCATTGTAAGAGCAGATGTAGAAAACATATGTAAATAGTTACCTGCTGCATTCAGTTCAATAAAATGAGTAACATTGCACGAAGGGACAGAAAATCAAAGGAGGTATCAAGATTTGTTTTGCATAGTAACAGTATTTATTATTTTCACCTTTTCTCTTAGTCTCCCCCAAGCCATACACCAACTTCTATCAATGCGTTCTGGATGTGTGGATTGCAATGACCGTTTGCAATGTTACTTCCTAAGATTGTCCCATCAAGGGTTGAATTTGACTACCCCCAATAATGGAGAGCTCAGGTTATAGGAGGCTGGGGGACAGACTCTGCATCTGAAAGTCCCCAAAATGCTCAGGAAAATTCACTGATAGGGTGACCAATGGGAGGAAAGTCCCATCCTAAAAACAAACAAAATTGACGGAAACAGTGAGAGGTTGCTCCTCCAATCACAGGCTGGGTCTCCCTCATGCTTGCTGCTAGTAGGGTCACTTGTGAACCTATCAACAATAAACATAATAGAGGAAAACGTGTGATTGGAAGAGTAGCAAGCAGATTGGAAGTAAGTGATAGCAATGAGGGAGTCACTGGTGGAGCCAGTAGCCAGAGCCAGCGTCAAGTGTTGGAGCTAGACTTGATGTCCTGCCTTTAGCCAAGGTCAGGATCAGGTGACCCATTGTCAAGGCTGAAATTTCAGTCTATCTGAGAAGGGCAGGGAGGTAACAGACACAAGAGAGTTTGGCAAGGGAGAATGAGGCTGCAAGGGGTGTAGGGTTGAACAATGCTGTAAGTGCGGGGGAGGCAAGAAGGAGTTTGCGAGAAGTGAACAAAGCAGCTGCAAGAGGAGTGTGGGGGAGAAGGAAATTGCAGGTGGTGTGTGGGGAAGAAGGAGGCTGAAGGATTGGTGTAGGGGAGAAGGAGGCTACAGGATGGATGCCAGGGAGAATTCTAGATAGAACTCTAGATGCTGTAGGTGTCAAAGGGTTTGGGAAGAGAGCAAGAGTATGCCGTGGAGGTGAAAGATTAGCCATGATCATATGAATGGCAAAGCACGCTCCATGAGCTCAATGGCCTACTCCTGCTCCTAATTGCTACCTTTCTAGTTTAAGGTTGCATAAATTCAGGAGCTACTACTATTCTTGGAAAAATTGTAGTAGGTCCTACTATACTGATCACCACCATGTCTAATATCCTCAATGCGGTGACCAGTAAAAGCAAGTGTACCAAAATCCTTCTTCACCAAATAAAAACTAAAAGAACTTTGGATGTTGCAAATCAGGAACAAAAACAGAAGTTGCTGGAAAAGCTCAGCAGGTCTGGCAGCATCTGTGTAGAAAAAAAATATAAGGAAGGGTCACCGGATCCGAAACGTTAACTCTGATTTTTTTCTTCACAGATGCTGCTAGACTTGCTGAGCTTTTCCAGCGAATTCTGTTTTTGTCTCTTTTTTACCACCTTGTCTACCTGTGACTCCACTTTCAAGGAACTATGAACCTGCAGCCCAAGCTCTCTGTTCTACAACACTTGCCAGGATCCTACCATTAAGTGTATAAGTCCTGCCTTGATTTGCCTTACCAAAATACAACACCTCACATTTATCTAAACTCCATCTGACACTCCTCGGCCCATCATCATTGCATTGAGTATAGGAGTTGGGATGTCATCTTGTGACGGTACAGGACATTGATTAGGCCTCTTTTGGAATACTGCATTCAATTCTTGTCTCTCTGCTGTAGGAAAGATGTTGTGAAACTTCTAAGGATTCATAAAAGACTTACAAGGATAATGCCAGGGTTGGAGGATCTGAGGTACAGGGAGAGGCTGTATAGGCTGGGGCTATTTTCACTGGAACGTTGGAGGCTGAGGGGTGACCTTACAGAGGCTTATAAAATCATGGGGGACATGGATAGGGCGAATAGCCAAGGTCTCTTCCCCGAGGTAGGGGAGTTCAAAACTAGAAGTCACAGGTTTAAGGTGAGATGAGAAAGATTTAAAAGGGACCTAAGGGGCAACTTTTTCATGCAAAGGGTGGTGCGTGTATGGAGTGAGCTGCCAGAGGAAGTGGTGGAGGTTGGTACAATTACAACATTTAAAAGGCATCTGGATGGTTATATGAAAAGGAAGGTTTTACAGGGATATGGGCCAAATGCTGGCAAATTGGACTAGATTAATTTAGGCTATCTCGTTGGCAAGTTGGACCAAAGGGTCTGTTTTCTTGCTGTACAACTCAACAACTCTATTTCAATTTATTTAAATTTAAATCTGATACTGAGATCCACAATGCAGTAAATATGATTGTAACTGCCTGGTTAAAATGTTCCAGCTTTGTTCACTTGCAGCAGAAATGCATTTGCTGTGACATTACCAGCATGTAAAGGCCTTGTGAACGGTGATGACATTTTTGTGTCCAAGTGTGTGTCAGTTATTTTGATTAAAACAAAACTCGTGTTGCTAACGTAAGCCAGTTGCCTTGTACAAATTTAGACTGTGTTATATATGGGAAATGAAGACTTTCCTGTGTGCTGCAGTTTTACGTTTAAGAGGCGATTGATAATTATTGAGAATACTGATGAGCTTTCCTCATTCTGCTTCTGTGAGAATCTAAATACAACATACATCAACACATACATGTGCAGAAGTATTGTTATTACATGCTGCATCAGGTAATAAATGAGCTGGTAAGCATGAAAAAGTAACCCTGAAAATCAAGAAGTGGCCCTTGAAGAAATCTCTTCAGGATGGCTCACAACAATATGGACAAACAAGCAGGAGAACCCTGGTAGCCTCTGTGAGCTTCCAGATGTTCACACTTTATGCTGCTCTGTGGCCCCTGAAGAGGTCACCAGTGACAATGACAGAGCCCATACAGGGCACCATTAATGCAGCGTACACCCTTTGATCTCTATGGTCTCCCTTCCTGGACCATGCAGGAAAAGAAAATCTCCAATTGCTCGAAATGCAGATGCCCTCTCCATTCTGCAGCATCAGAAATGGTCACCATTTCTGCCTGCTTCCTGAATGAACTGACAGCATTGATATGCGGCTGCCATCCTCAATGTAGCAGTGGTCTCCTACTGGAAAACCAGCTACTGGGAAAACACTGTCATGGGGTCCAGTCCTCTCATTGGCACAGGATCAGCTTCCTACAGTGGAACTTTTGACTTTTTGACAGAATTCAGCCCTGTATGTTTTATCCAGCTCCATTCAAACACAGCGTTCCAGAATCCAGTTTTCATTTCAAATATATTTTATTTTTGTCATATTATTTTGCTGTTTAGGAGTCTATTTCATCCATGCCTTACTTTACTTAGCAGAACCAGAAAATGCAGGAAAAGTGTGCAGAACACATTGGGTTAAGGGGAATATTTAGTATGTAGACTGCATTAGTGGAACTGATCGATTACAAAAGATTTGCTGAGTTTGTAGGTGACCATTAAGCTGGTATTTGATAGGAGGTACTGATACTGAAATGATAATTGAGAGGAGGAATAGGCCAACCTGGTGAGAGACAGGATGAGAAATAGAATTAATTTTTGCTTTTATTCAGATGTTTTTAAAAACTTGGCCAAACACTGGGGGCTGCGAGTAAAGTCCTTTTCCCACTGCTAGCTATGATCATTGAGTCATACAGTTCTACAGCATGGCAACAGACCCTTTGGTCCAACTCGTCCATGCCAACCAGATATCCTAAATTAATCTAGTCCCATCTGCCAGCATTTGGCCCACATCCCTCTAAACCCTTCCTATTCATATATCCATCCAGATGCTTTTTAAATGTTGTAATTGTACTAGCCTCCACCACTTTCTCTGGCAGCTCATTCTATATAAGCACCACTTTTTCCATGAAAAAGTTGCCTCTTAGGTCCCTTTTAAATCTTTTCCCTCTCACCTTAAACCTATGCCCTCTAGTTTTGGACTCCCCTACCCTGAGGAGAATGAAATTCGATGTCCAGAGGTACTTGAAACTAAACAGCACAGGCAGTCGGCTGTGAAAGTTCACTGCCTGATCAGACAGCTGTGCAGGTTCACTGCTCCTTTTTTTTCACCTCCCACATGGTACCTGCTCTTTCTCTCTCTCTCTCTTCCTCCTTGTTAAAGTGCTATTGTTTTGATCTCTTTCTTTCCAAAAAGTTCCAAAACAATGCAACAGCTTATAAAACAGCAATTACTGTTTGAAGAATTCGAGGAAGTCGGCTCCAACACTGAAAAAATCTCACAAAAGAAACAGCTCTTACAGCCACAATTTTCTCCCATCCTCCAGTGAGCGTATCAAGTCCCAATTGGTTTTACGTTGATGAAAACAGCTAAATCCATTCCAAAACAATACAGTATCAACACTGGTCAATGAAGAACTCAGGTGGTAGTTTTTTTTCTGTTGGGCTTACCTGACTTGACTGAGATATTCGGCGTGTTCTGTTATATAGGACCATGGATTCACCTTCTCTCGTTCGCGCAATTGTCCAACTCCAGGCAACCATTGTTTTTAGAGACTCCTTTATTGGCCAACGATACACTTCTTTGTCCTGAAATTTTATTGGAACATTCTCATTTAGAATTACAATTTTAAAAAAAAGAAAATTTTAAAGGAAATCAAAAATATCCTATTGGTTTGCTTTCCATTGTCCGAAGGAAGTTATGATATGTTTTAAAATCCTAACTGCGCAATAGTAAGTACAAGTCAAAATTACAGAGATTTTTGTCAGAGCAAGTTACTGCAGATGCTGGAATCTGTGCTGCAAACAAAAAATGCTGAACATCAAAGTGGGTCAGGCAGCATTCGTGGAGAGAGAGCAAGCTAACGTTTCAAGTCGAGATGATTCTTCATCAGAGCTGATGTGAAGTGTGGAGGGGGCAACATTTATGCAATAGTTGCGGGGAGGTGGTGGTGCAGTGTTGGAGGAGAAAGGGTGCTGACAGTGCAGGTTAAATGATCAGAATGTGAGAATGGCAGAACGATGGTGTGTCTGACTGCCAAACTGGAAAGAACAGATAGTCCCACTGGAGTAGGGGGAGGAAAGAGAGGATGTCATGACAGAGAATAAAACAAGTAAAGCTAAAAGAAAGGGAAGGAATGGGAGTGGGTTCACAATCTGAAGGTGTTGAACTCAGTATTAGCTCATGTCATTTATTTCATGAGGTGACAAAAATCTATATCAGAATATTAAAGCAACAGCATTGAAATTTGATGTGTTTTACAATCTCTACAGATCATCACAACTACTATATTATTCTCATATCCAATGAGTTAGTTTGAGAGTGACGCACTTATTACAAATGGAAACACAAGTCAATGCAACGTCCAATTGGCTACATCATGCTCCTCGTCTGACAGGGAACGCGAGGCTAGAATTCAAATAAGAATGGGTTGAACTAGCTTATTAAAATAATTGTATTGATGAATCCTTAACACAACAAACTACACATCCAAAAACATCCTCGAAGTTACTCTTCTCATCTCTCAAATCTGATCTAGAAACAGACAACACCAAGAATCGCTTGGTGTGATACATTTCTTACACTGGGGTCTCACTTACTCAGTAAATTCTTGACAATCCTTTCTAATGAATTTGTGAGAGATTAAGGAAACTTATAGATCTCTTTATAAAGGGAATTGAATATATATTCAAAAAAGGAAAAAAAATTGCAGGACTACAGAGAAAGAACAGGGGAATGGAACTGGTCAAATAACCCTTTCAAAGAGCTGGAGTATGCACAACGGGCTGAATGGCATTCTTGTGTGCTTTAGGAATCTGTGATAAATGTTTGACATTAATATCAACAGAAATAAGACCTGATCTGGTCAAATACAGAAGTTTAGACTACAAACTATCTAGAAGGATCCTAGTATAATACATGCCAGATTCCAACTCTTGAAGTTCAAAGACTCCACCTGTTCCCTTTGGTTAGCACAGTTAAGAGATTTATCTGAAGATTTGGCCATCAACAGTTTTTACAATTGGAATGAGTGATTTTGGATTTACTTTTATTTCTAAAGCATCAGATACAACTGAGGGAAAGACTGGTGTGTTCCTTCACTTTAGACAAATTCAGATTGCAGCAGTCTTGGAGATCCAAATTCGTCTGGAGAATAGCACATCAATGGCAATTTTTCTGGTAAATGCTGGTACATTGAAAGTATGTTCTACTTTTATTACTTCCTGGTTATTGATTGTTTGTATCTTAGTCCCTCAGAATGAGGATGACACTTGCTCATGGCAAGTGGATCTAAATAGACTCTTAACATGGGGAGACTGTTGTATTGCAATTACCACATGATGCTGGCTGATGAGAACATTCTCCCTTTCTTTCTGCTGTCATAGGTGTATATGAAGGATTTACAGATTGATAATCAACCTGTTTGATTAAATTACGGCACACCTTCCATGGTCACCAAGTACTGAGGTGGGACTTGAACCCACAGTGTCTGGCGAAGAGGTAGCGATGTTACGCACAATGCCACAGACTCCTCTTATTGTTGGATAAAATGATGTCCAAACTCACTTAGTAGAGAAGACTCATGCCCTCCTTTTCACACCTTAGTTTACACAAATTTTAAATCTTATTTTTATCTTTCTCTACTATGAACAACCCCTTTGTCCTTGGCATGGGAGTCTGCCTCTGTCAAAAGTATAAAAATATTTTCCAACACATTTCAGTTCTGAAGAGTCATACTGACATGTTGAGTTTCTCCGGTGTTCACTGTTTCAGATTTCCAGCATCAACAATATTTTGCCTTAACAATGATAAACTGTTCAGGCTTCATTCTGCAAGTTTACAGCATTATCCTTTTTGCATTGTTACAATTTAATCGTTCTCACGTATTCATTATGCTCTATACAATCACGTCTATTGCATGAGGTAAGTACATCTCTCCTACTCACCTTTTCAGATAGAAGTTTGAATGGTTTTAGCAAAGGATGAACCTTGGCAGCTTCATTGCATGTTTCACCATACACCCATCCATTTGCAAACTGGAAGAAAAAGACCAGATAATTCTGTTCTTATTGTCGTTTGGGTTTCATTCAACAAATCGTTGACAATTTTCAATCACTGTTGTAAACTCAACTGGACTAACAGTTATTCGTGTAGTGTGCTTGTACTCAAATATCTCATGAAGCAGTAGAGTGCAGATTCAATGAGCACAAGTCAATATGGCAAGTTCCTGGTGTTGCATGCAATGCTAAGGAGAAGTGGTACATGTAGTGCAGATCCTTTCCCCCAAAGTACAAAACAGGAACAATCACAGGTACAGTATTTACACACTCAACACTGGAAATACCATAGGAGAGAACCACATCATCATACATTCAACAGAAAATAGTTTGTGATCCTGTAGCAATCAAACTAGATCTAAATTGGGAGAAAAATTATCTGAGCACTGCACAGGAAGTGGGGAGAGAAATAAAATGTCAAAGCATCCTATTTTCCCCTCAGACAAGTACTGTTCATGGGTCATACACTCTGATTAGCATGCAGCTCAATTGGAGCAAACCAAAACTAAACACCACTGCAAAGAATAAGTGACGAATGCTCTTACAGGTGCCTTATGTTGTCTATAAAAGATAGAGTAATGCAGCCTGTTAGTACGTAATAAAATTAGGTTTTAGATTCAGTCCCATTGAGTTTCTAGGTTCGTCATGCTTCTATCAGAAGAAGATGAGCAGTGACACCATGAGAGGCCACGTTTGTCTGTTATTCAATGGCCAAACCATAGCAGCATCAAAAAAAGCTCAGAGGAGGGTGCTCCCTCCGTTGCCTACACTGTGTATCTTAAGGAAACTCAAGGAAGAATAAAAACAAGATTAACAGACTTACCTTGTCCATTGCCCACTTGTCATGACTGTGTTCTGCATATTTGTTAACAAAATAATCCAACTTTTCCGGCAGGGTTGTACTAACAATGGAAGTGAACAAACAACAGAAGTTACCTCCTGAACTACATCTTCATATAAATAGAACATATGTGGCAACATTGGTCAGTTACAGACAAAGATAATGTTATTTTGCGCCCCCCCACCCCATGCTCTCTTTTACTATAGACTTAATAACTTACTATATTTTACACCCATTTCTTATTCCTTAGAGAATGGTGTTCTGAGTGCTAAATCATTTGTTCAACTGTCAATTGACTGCAAATGTGATCTTAAATGCTATTAATTTTAATTTTCAAGACAGGAAATAAGAAAAGTTTTTAAAAAGTACAGGTTAGGGGCAGGGCAATGGAACTAAATGAGTAACTCGAGAGTTGCCACATGCTGTAAAATTCTGGGATTCCATTAGGAGAAGGTCTTCTTTTCCTTTCTGTTCAATAAAGAATACATCAACTCCACAAAAGTTGTGTCAGTCTTATGGGGCAACAGTCCCAACTCATAACTATTCTGCTGTGTTTCTCCTCTACTGGAAATAGTATGGTCTACACTGGCTCTATATGGTTGGGCAAGCCTCCTTGGTTTGTTATCTGTTGAGCCTCTTATAACATTTTAACATTACTCAGCCACAGAACTTGTTTCTGCTGTTTTGTTTCCTTTCTGCCTCTGCTTTTCAAGTAAACAGCCAAGATCTGCACCAGGACAAAACCAAGCTGATTGATAAAACAGGTTTCACTTACTCCACTAATGCATCCCCAGTCTTTTGCAATCATATCTATAACATTTCAGGTAATGCTTCCTTATATCTTGCGAGTTTTGCCGGTGACACAGAGAGCTGGGAAAATAAGTCTGAAGAGGAAATTACGAGGCTAAAAAGGGAGTCAGATAGATTAATTGAGTGGGCAAAGATCCAGCAGGTGGAATATAATGTAGAAAAAGGCAAATTGGTGACTTTGGGAGGAAAGAAGAAAAAGCAGCATACCGTCTAAATGAGAGATTGCAGAGACTGAGGTGAAGGGGATCCCAGTGCATGAATCAGTAATACTATATTGGTAATGCCCTGAAAGATTTGAGCACATAAAGGGTTTATCTATTTAGAATGGTGGTTAGATGGGATACAGATGACAGGCGAGCCATCACAGGTATCAGCTAAACAAAACAACCAAAGAACTGCGGATGCTGGAAATCAGAGAAAAAAAAAACAGAAATTGCTGGAAAATTCAGCCAGTCTGGCAGCATCTGTGGAGAGAAAGCAAAGTTAACGTTTTCAGTCCAGTGACCCTTCCTCAGAACAGACCTACTGAGGTTTTCTAGCAACTTCTGTTTTGTTGCAGAAATCAGCTGTTTGCTTTTCCATTTTCTTTTAACTCTTGAGACCATTAAGGTGATTATAGTAAACCCTTTTTTTTAATCTTTGTGGTTGACATAGCTTCTCATGCACACCAATTCCACAAGCTGCCACATCAGGTGGTGGCTTTTCATTCAACTGGTAACTTAAATGGCAAATTTAGTGGGCCAAGGCTCAAACTATTTGAGAGATGGATCAAGGGCTACTCATTGCTTTTGAGATAACACGGTGT